TAAATCGTCCAATAAGAAAATGGGGAACAACTATCATACAACTTTAACTTGATTAATCAGTGGGTGAGAGAATTGTACTAATAATAGATGTTTGTCACGCGTGTTCAGGAACTGTATCCTCATGATGAGGTACGATCCTGATCAAAGTGTTTATTAGTATATCCAGGCCTTAATGGGGCTTGGAGCTGGTTGGCGAGATGCCTACTACCAGTCCCTACCTATAGTGCTGGCTGGCTGGGAGTGATACCCAGTCTCTGATCTGTGATATAAAGTGGTAGTGGTGGTTAAGAAAGCCTGTGAGGGCTATGAGAAGTAAGATAGCAAATGATACCTCTAGCCCTAGAGCCAAAGGTGTAATGGGAAAAGTGTTCGAGAATCAAGACATAGAGAAGATAAAAAAATAGTAAAATGGTCCTTACCATCCGCTCTGTGCGGATTTACATATATAGGCTTTCCAACCTTACACTAAGTATATCAAAGGTATAATCAATAATCCTGATTTGCAACCCAATGCAACCATTAATAGATGGATTGCTGGTATTCTTCTGTTTCGATTCCGCTTGGTGCATGTTCCTGCTTCCTTATTGATGGATGGCCTTTCTAGGTGTTCTGCAGCAGATGGAGAACACTTTAGTCAACCTCTTTCCATGGCCTCTTAGGTTGATCAGTCTCTGTTATTTGATGTGCCTAAGAGGCCTTTATCCTGGGATTATCCCATAAGCAGGTAATCCATACAGGACTCCCTTGAGCTAAGGTCATCCAGGAACAATTTGAGAATCCTGGGAGTTCCAATTGGTGGCAGGGGTCCTATCATTAATTAAGAATCTGAAAAATGTCCATCCTATACTAATACAAAGTAGGACTATTTTAGGATGTACTCAAAACTAATATTTGTACTACTTTGATAGCTATCTAAAATACTCCTACTAAATAGATATGCTCTGTGAGTATCAAATGATGTCCAAAGCATCCAATAGGACTACTTTGACTACTTTTGGGTACTACTCAAGTCCCACTGGGTATCCCAGAAGGTCTAGTAGGATGTCTTTATTGTATCCATGTGGTATCAAGAAGATTCAATGAGATTAATATATATACTGCTGGTATTCCCACTAGTTATGTAGAATATCTTTTGGAGTACTTGTATGGTGTCCACAACATCCAATGTGACTACCTTGGGTACATCTTATATTCTACCAAGTATCCCAGGTGCTCTAGTAGAATGTCCCTACGTTGCCATAGATGTCCTTTAACAGCACTCAGATATTGTCCAAGAGATCCAATGAGACTACTGCTGATATCCTAATAGTCCTCCAAAACATTCTTATATATACCCAAATACCCTTTGAGAGCACCAAATACTAACTGGGAGATCCAAAGAAGCTAATATTTGTGCTGATGGTTTCCAAATGGTTATCCAGGATGTCCCTATTATACCCCAGATGTCCTTTGGGGTACTTGTATAGTGTCCATAGCATCCAATTAGACTACCATGGGTATTACTTATATCCTATTGGAGCATCTGGGATCTCCTTGTTATACATGTATACCCTTTAGGAGTACTTACAATTATATAAAACATCCAATAAAACTACTGGTGTCCTTGTGGGCATTTCTAATGTCTCTGTTATATCTTACCATTACCCACAAGGTGTCCAAAATATCCAATAAGACTACTATTTGTACTGCAGGAGTCCCAATTTTCATCCAAAACATCTGTACTATACCTGGATATCCTTTGGGAGTACAAAATAAAGTCAGAATATCTAATGTGACTACTTTGAGTATTACTTGTGTCCCACTGGGTACTACAGATACTCTAGTAGGATGTTTTTATTATACCCTGGATGTCCTGTGAGGACACCCACACATTGTTCAAAACATCTAATGAGACTGTTATTTATACTGTTGGTGTCCCAATGGTCACCTAGGATGTTTTTATTGTACCTGGATATCCTTTGGGAGTACCACATGATGTCCAAAGCATCAAATGTAACTATTGAAGGTACTAATTATATCCCAATGGGCAACACAGAATATTGAATGAGGCTAATATTTGTACTGTTAGTATCCTGATGGTCATCCAGAATGTCTCTATTATACATGGATATCTTTTGGAGTACCTGTATAGTATCCACAACATCCAATGACATTACTACTTATGTTCCACTGGCTGTCTCAGATGCCCCAGTAGAATGTTCCTATTTTATATGGAAGTCCTTTGGGGGTCCCCATAACTAGCCAAGACATCTAGAACATCCTCCTTATACTTGTATATCCTTGGGAATTACCAATGAGATGTCTAGAACACCAAATAAGACTACTATATTTACTGTTAGTATCCTAACAATTATCCATAATACCCCTATTATACCCAGATATTCATTAGAAGTACCTGCAAGCTGCCCATAGTATCCAATGAGACTACTCTGGGTACTACTTATACTACATTAGGATTTCTTTATTGTACCATGGATATCCTTTGGGAGTACCTACATGTAATTCAAAATACCAGGTAAAACTACTATTTCTATATGGATAACATTTGAAAGTACTCCCACAGGATATTCTATAATATAATTAGATTAGTCAACACACCTGACAAATTATGATATTTGTTTATAGTATGAGAAAACATGCATTGGCCAGGGCTTGAACCTGGGACTCCAGCTTTCATGGTCTGGTGCTTTACCAACTAAGCTACCAAGGCGTACTTGGAAAGCATACTGATTGGTTGCATGCCCAGAAGGTCCAGAATCACTGTACACGGGTGCAGATCCCATTGTGTTGTGATAACACCTTAAAGTGAAACACTTTGATTTTGGGTTATTCCAGGATAGTCCTGCTTTATATTGATATAGGGTATTGGATTTTTGGAATTAATTAGTGCTAGGACCCCTGGCACCAATTGCAACTCCCAGGGTTCTCAAATTGCTCCTGGATAACATTAGCTCAAGGGAGTCCTGCATGGATTACCTGCTTATGGGATAATCCCAGGATAAAGTCCTCTTAGGCACATCAAATAACAGAAACTGATGAACCTAAGAGGCTATGGAAAGAGGTTGACTGAAGTGATGGAGAACAACCTGAACTAGAAGATGAGGACTGAATTGATAACACCAACACTGTGATATTTGAGCAATTTACACTGGTGTCTGCACTACCTTCTCACATAGTATAGTAATAACATTCTATATTAGACGGGGCATTATTACCTGATAATATTGCTATATAGATAGGGCCAGCAAAGTCCAGCGGTGTGTACCAGCCGGGCCATTTCAAATGTGATATTATTGTGCCCATCCTCAACAACCCGACTCAGTCACAGGATAATGAGTGGAGAAGAGCGCAATATGTTGCTGAGATGAAGTGTGGCCTTACCTCCACTCTTGATATATATCTGAGCTATTATTAAATCTTGACAATTCTGCCTTTTAAGGTCCTGATATTTTTGAGGCATCCATGAGACATCTTTAGGTATACATGTACATATAGCAATACAATTATCTACTTGAGTTTTGGTATACCCAGGTCAAAGACATTTGTCTCTGTGCTCTCTTTTGGTTTCTCTGTCACAGATGGAGCACCAACACTGAAAACAAGCCCTCCTTTTCCACTATTATTCTGGTTTAAATGTTCAGGCATTGGTGGCATTGAATTTACAGCTTTTGATGATGTCCTTTGTATACAAGGGACCCCTATATCAAAGACTAAGGGTCCGGGCATCCCTAATTTTGTGCTCCCAGGGTTGTTGCAATTAGGCCTCTTGCATGGCACCCCAATATCAAAGATATTGTTTGTGAGAGTGGGTGCCGGGGAGAGATCTGAGGAGGGCACAGAGGAAGGCCCTGGGAAGCATTCAGGTGAGTTGGACCCCAGACTCCCCCAGAGATGGTGAATCGTCTGATAAGCCAGTCAACTCACTTGAAGTTGCTGATGAAATGTATATCAGACCTTTTAAGAACAAGTAAATGTATGAACTTGGGATTCATGGTTGTTGGGTTATATATAGTGGGTAACATGGGTAAACCTAAAAAAAAAGCATTTCAAGATGGTGGTGGAGTAATATTGAAGATGATGGGACATACCTGGGGAGTTGGCATTTACAACATTTCTGCTGTTTGAATGTGAAAAATACAAGTCCAACTTTCATTACGTGCAATCATGTGCATTTTTCTCAAAATTCCCACGGGCACAATTTGTGGCACCAGATCCATGTATAGCATGTTTGAACCCTTTAACATCTCAGTCACTTGGACAATACTACCCTACACCACACTTTTATCACATCCCCAACCAAAAACACTACTCCTGATGTTTTGTTCCACCCAAGAAAAGATCTACAAAGCCAATGAGTGTTTCAGGAAGGCTGTTATGTACTAGCCCCTGGTTCTTGTCCAATACAGGGACTAGTATGTGGAGATGCTGGGGGAGGAAGTAGTAAGTGGGACAGACACAATAAGGGAGGGAAACGACGCTGGGCATGACTTTGATGTCCCCTGGCTCTTTCTGAGTACCATAACACAGTTTGGCAGAGCAAAGAACAAGGGAGGGGCAGTGGATTCTTCTATGATCAGCCAGAAAGATGAGACGGTGGAGGGATCCGTCTGGTTTGATCACGGGAGACAAACTCCTGAGAGGAAAGAGGCTTTGGATAATAGGTGATGGTTATAAAGTAAGTTTCTTATTTTTTCATTCTTTTTCAATTACTTACTGACTGTTTCTCTTTACATTGGTTCTGTCTTGTCCTTTCACCACCCTGCCCATTGCAACAGCAGCAGCACAGTCCAAAAGCCCCCCTTGCACCCACCACTGGCAAAAAAAAGTGTGAATTTGCTCGCACGACAGTGGTGTCATCAAAGAAGAAGAGGGCAGCTCCATCCCGGTGTTCCCCATCCTCGCCCCCTATTTCCAGGCCCTCAAGGCCATTTTGCCCCCAGTATACCCGCCAATGCCTTGGGACATCTAGAGCTCAGCGCCCGGACCCCATAGCACCTCCAATGGGCAAGGGAAAGGGAGATTACCAGGGGTGTAGAGGATCTGCAGAGGAAGAGTATGGAGGAGGGGTGCAAGCAGTGCAGGCTGGACAAGTCTGCCTGCACCATCAGCAGGAGTAAGCAGACAAAGATATGCAGTATATTTTATGGTCAGGAAGATATCTTCCACTACTTCAAAGGTCTTCCAGTGCAAGAATTCTTCCCTCCCCTGGAAGAACTTAATGTGCATCACAAAAGCTGCACAGAGCCTATTCAAATAGTCGAGCACCAAACCATGCTATTTAATTGTATTTTGGACCTACAAGATTTTGTCAGAATAACTTATTTTTGCTAATATAATTCTATATTTCCACACAAAAACATAGTATCAATGGAAATATGTCAACAAAAATACATTATTCTGACAAAATCCTATAGGTCCAAACTACAGTTAAATGTTTTTGACTACTTTAGGATTTTTCATTAATTTTGGGTGTGAAAGCACAGTTAGAAGGTCATCAAATGATGATTATGTGATTTTAGAGAATGAATTCCTTATGAATTTCCTGCAGCTTTGTCAAAATGTGAAGTGATATAATCTCCTTGACCCCAGACTTCTCTCTGGTATGTTCAAAAAATAATGATTATTTCCCTAACAACATATTAGCCATTTTCTACCAGCTTTTGTAGACTGCAAAATATCCACAACTTCTGGGAGGGTGTTTACAAATCCTAGTGCTGGGAATCAATGATGTGCACTGTTGAAAGGGCACAAAGTGCTTAGTTTTTCAATATAGATGTACTGTGATGACACATCTAGTAATATGTCCAAGAAATGGAATGAACATAACAGTTTGTTGTTTATTCCTACAGGTCTTTCACAATCTGAAGCCCAACAAGAATACAATGTATGTTACAATTCACAAATTTCAGACCTTTAAATTTCATTCTCCTATTTAACTTTCTTTCTCACTTTGGACACTTGTACCACATGGCACTTTCCTTTATTTTCAAACTGCATTTTGTACCTTTCCATTTCTCGCACTGTACAGCCTTGTTTTATATTAGTCACAGCTCTCTCATATAGTGGACATTACAATCTGCTTCACTTTTAGATCACATTTGACTTTAAAAGCATACTACCATCCGTCTTCATGGTCTTTAATTGTTGAAGGGATAGGTTTATGCATGTTATAGTCTCCTCAGATGATAACAACAGGAGGACACAATAAGGAGTCTCCTTGATCTATTGGGGTATATATACAACTGCACACTATTTGTACATGTATACTATACAGTTGGAAAAGTAGTGGCTGATGATATCATGGGGCACAGCCCATGTGACCAGCTCCACTATGTGAGAGAGTTGTATCCAAAAATAAGGGGAAGCTGCACAGCACAGGAAAGTGAAAGTTAAAGTGCAGTATTGAAAGGAAGGGAAAGTGCCGCATGGAACAAGTGTGAAAGAAAGTTGAAATGGAGACTGAAAGGAAAGTCCAAAAATTGGGTATCATAACACTTGTCCTATCCTATTGGGGTTTATAATACTAATAGGTAGTGAATCCAAGCTCAGCTCCAAGCTGGGTTTGTAAGTAAGAGTCAATAGTGTAAAGACCTCCAGGGTCAAGGGCAAGAGGGTTGTAGTCCGACGGGGCATTATTACCTAATAATATTATTATATAGACGGGGCCAGCGGAGTCTGGCGGAGTGTGCCATCTGGGCCATGGTAGGCGTGATATTATTGTGCCCATCATCAATGACCCGGCTGGGTGAGAGGATACCCGTCTTAGACGACCCAGCTGGATCAGAGTCTGCTCATTAAGGACCTTTCTGTCACCTTTTTAAGCATCATTTTCTATTTGATGTTGGATATGCAAATATCTCATAACTTCCAAATCCAGTGGTGTCTTGTTGCCGGGAGGCTCTCTAAGACTATAGCGCTTATATTATAAATTCATGGATATGTTTGAACAATGTGATTCTGAAATGCTGTATTATATAATGTACTGACTAGTAATCAACTATAAGAGAACCCACATATATTTTTGTTGTCTACAGCAACGCCATGAGTCCTCAGACCACCAAGCCATCCATTCCCTCTGATATTCCTTCCAGCTGGAAATTACTGTTTACAGAACTTGCAACACAGTGTGTGCTATTTCACTTCCGGCAAGCATTGATTCACATGCATACTGAGGGGCCCGACCTCCTCCAGCCAGAGCCAGGATCCCAGTGGGATTGGAATGTAAAATTTCTGGGAACATTTGTCAGTGAATGTAAGAGAGCAGCTGGGGTGTTAGCAATTGCATACCTCACAAGGAATAAATCATTGGTATTGCACCAAAAATGTTACTGATGAATACCCGGGTAGTGAATATTCAATGGGATGCAACATTGTATGCAGAGCATGTGGGCCCTTGTAATAACAGCCCTAACAACAAGCTCAAACAGAGTATATCTGAGGAATACCAACCTGCAAAAGATATTGGCATCATCACAATCCCGTCCATCATAATTGAAATTCACAGAAGAATAGTTCTATGGTACCTCCCACACATCCTTGCTGAGGAGAGACAGGTGAAAATATATTTACATGGTCAAACAAAATACTTGAATTGAGCTAGCCCTCAAAGAGCTGGCATCAATCTTCCGAATATTACAAAAATCCTGGGGAGTGTCAGGATTTCTGCTTTGCTGGGTAATTTTGCCAAAAAGACTTCATATATATCCATGGTGTCTTCTTATGCAGCCAGTTTTGCTGTGCCCTTTTGTTCTGGGAAATTCAGGCCTCTGTGTCCTCAGAGTCTGCAGTGGAATTGATGTTTTTGAATGCAAGCTTACTTGATGGCAAACCTTGTTGAACCTTTTTGAACTTCTTGCAAAGCACCAGTGTCATGCACCAAAGTTGATTGGTAGCATGGACAGGTGTCAATAACGAAGCAAATATTCAAAAAGACTTGCCTTTGTGCCACACAGGCACAGTGCCATGTGGAATAGTAATTAATATTGCCTTTTTTGAACTTGTGGCTGATCAGCACCACCTCTATTAGGCAATCCAGTCACGCTCACCTTTGCTTTTCCATTCGGTACTTTCCGCGTTTCGGCATTTCGGCAAATTTTTGCGTCGCCACTGGCTACACATTGCATTGCACCCCCGCTTTTGTCGTTTCCCTTACTCCCCTTCCTTTGCCTAGCCCCACCATGGGCCCCTTCCTCTCCTTTTTATTCTCACCTGACAGTTGTTTCTGGATCCCCATTCTAATCCACTTTTTTATCACCTCCACCCTCCTCCTCCTCATCTTATTTGCACCCCCACCATTTCTGATGTCACCACTTCCGTCGCCAATCCGTTGACTACCACGTGCCACTGCTGATATCAGCAAAGCCCCAGCGGCCAGTTCAAATAGGGCAACAGGTCCATCTTTATGACATCGATCTACCATCATATACTATCAAAACATCGGTCGCTCGTCTTGCCTGGTTGGAGCGTGGGTGGGTAGTTTTTGAGCTGGAGAAGGTTCATCCCCTTGCGTTGCCCATGTTCATTGCTGTCCCATTCACTTGGGTAAACTTATCTTTTGTCCATCGTCTTCGCTACAGCTACACCTACCACACACTGCCTGGGACTCACTTGTTCCAAATTGGAACTACTCCTCTCCCTCCCTCGTTTGATCAGGTGGTCCAACACAACCAGTCCATTGGTGAGGCCATGGAACTGTCAAATTTGGACTAGGTGGTGGACCGGTGGCTCCAGTTTCTTTTTTTCAGCAGAACATTTATTTACAGTGCAATTATTTTTGATTTTTGAATCATTTTTATGGACACATATTTTTTTAGAATGCCTGACTGACAACAAAGGAACTGTGTTGATAATGATAGTGTTTTGCCTTACCCTTTTTTTACTGCATCTTCCCATGACATCATGATTTTCCTGCTCTCTTTTTGCTATTGGACTTTACTTTATGGCTGTACAAACCTGTGACATTACTCACAGCATTCATTGTTCTATCCCTTTCTTTTCCTTTTTTGACAATCTTATCCTGTATTACCTACGCAGGATTTGTCAGCGTACATTCTTTCCTTCATGTTCTTTCTCATTCTTTTTGCACAGCTATACTGTGCATAGCCTACTTTTCTTTTACTATATAAACCCCTGTATTTTACCTTGTAAAAAACATAAACTCAATTCCAGACTTCTTCTTTAATTTCAAGTTCACTACTCTGCTGCTTGTGATCCAGTGTGGTCACAACACTTCCCACTGCTACCACTGTCAACTGCTGTCATCGTCATTTCTCACTTTTGAAGTCATTATCATCCCTTTCAATTAGAGTCCTTCTGAGCACTACAGTTTGTGTGTCAGGAGCCTGCTATCACTGGGAACCTCGTTATATTGTTGTTCTCAAACCTACCTTGTGCTACAATTAGCAAGGTAGTGCTCGTCTATACTCGCCACAAAGCCCCTATCTTTCTATATTCCAACTATCCCTCCTCCTCAAAACCCACACCCATACATATCTGGGTTTTACTTTGAAGGATCCTTATACATACCACCCCACAAACAACCAGAGCACCCACTGTTCTAGGAGGCAAAGCCCATAAACAAGTTCCGTGGAATCTGGGAGGATTGTGGTGTTAGTTTGTTTTTTGTGTGTGGTTTTCTAACAACAGTTCTCATCATCGACACCAGGACTAGGCATGCACTTAGTCATAAATATGGGTGAGTTATTGAAGCCCGGGACCTACCCATTTATATAAGCTTCTTCTAATTGGAATCACTCATGTGGCCATCCAATATTTCTTGTCTATGTGACTTGCTCATAGCCCGGGTGCTTCAAGAGTCTTCATTGAGGGGAGCTCAAAGTGTTTTCAATATCTCACCATCAACCTGCCTGGCCCCGGGAATGAAGTTAGGGGCGTATCTTGGGAAGCAGATGTCTTGATGTCCATGCACATGAAATAATCCAATGCCCTTGTACATGGATACATCACTGGGGACCTGAAGATAAGGACTTTTAAGGACCCTCTTCAAGAAGTGTTTACCATATTGGCACATTATATTGTAGAGGACTATGACTGAGTCAATCCCAACCAATGAGGTCAAGGCCTGACAAAGGGAATAGTCCATGTTCATTTGGCTATGAAGAGTGAGCAATTGCCATGATCACAGATTTGTGGGCAACTCACCGTTCACCTTTCTGAAAATCCACTACGGCACCCAGGCAAAATACTCCATGCCGGGCACAGGCAGTAGCACCAATCCTGGTAGCATTGAGGTGCTGCCGGTCCGTGTTTTCCAGGTTTACAGCTCTGGGGTAATTACAAGTAGACCCCACTTTATTTTCTTTGGCAATTTT